ATAATATTAATAAGATATTGCACCTTAAATGCTAGAAGTCAGGGTATAGGGATGAGACTTATTTTATTTTGGTACCATGGTTCATAAAATTTAAAAGTACAAGTTGATAGTTATTATATCGAGATAAAATTATTTGTACAACTACAGTAATATGATAAAACATCAAACAACGTGCGAAAATAATCTATTCAAAGAGTAATATAATATAAATAGGCAATTTCTAATAATATTGTATATTATTATTGTTTAATCGTCACTGAGAATTTAAAATTAGTTTAACGTTTTTCGTCAAAAAAAACACTTTCGTTTTATTTTAATCAAGTTTGCCGCCATCACGGTGTAATAATTCCTAATTTGAGGACCGGGTTACACTTGGGTATATACATAATATAATATGTATATATAAATCGACACTGCACCTCAGTCGTATAATACCAAGCATGGTATATAAACCACCCCCGGCGCGAAGACGTTAAATAAAATGGATTCGCTATTGAAAATCGAATATCGTCGACGTGCGTAAGATAAAGTTCATCGTGTCGGTCGGCTGTAAAAATAAAAAAAAAAATAATAACAAGACGAGTTGCACCGCGGTGGCTGTATATACGATAAATAACATAGACCGAAGTGTTTACAGTCTGCCGGAGATACGAGTTTATATAGGACGATAATAATATAACATACACTTTATGAATATCGAGTAGTATTATTTTTTCCACCCTCCCCTCTCACGCGTCTCTTTGTCAAATCTTTTTGATAGGTTTTTCTTCTCTTTCTCGCTTTGTGTAAATCGCGGTATTGTTACCCCCAGTGGTGGATACGACTGCAGCAATAATACCTCGCTCGGGTTAGGACGTACATAACCTTTCCTATTTTTTATTTCTCTCTTTTTTTATTATTATACCCACTCTACTTAGGCCGCGGCTACAATATTATATTCTACTAGCTACTACTACTTTTTCTTTATGTACCGGACTACGACCAATATATTATTATAAGGATTCTACGCTTGTCAAGGGAGTGGGGGGGACGGGGTAGTGATTTTTACGATATGGTATTATTATTATATTTACTACGCAAAGTGTACCTACGAAAACGCGTCTACTAGGTTATTATACCAGGGTATACACAGAACGTATATTTTGTATTGTATATATTATACTATTATTGTGGGGAAATAAGTCGCGTCGTAGGGCGTGTGCACCGTGGAAATGCACAATAATATAGGCCCGCCACCGCCTGCACGCTGTATAGTTGTCACGCGATGCTTTCACCCGCTTTTACCCAATGCAGCGCCACAACACTGGATACGCCGTATTATAATATACCTATGCCGTCCAAGACAACTCTCGGAGGCGCCCCTGCCCCCTACCCTACACTTCCGACATGCCAACGGAATCCCATTACGATATTGTGTTACGGCAGGGGAAAAAAAAGAAAACAAGTAAATAAAAAAATATGATAATAATGTAATTTTAATAACAACATCGCGAGTGCACATTTTCGTTTTTTCGGTAATTAGTGCGCGAGCGAGTTTCTCGTCTATACGTGTGACGCTATGATAATAAGTAATAACAATATTATTATTTTTCAACACGGGAAGGTACCTATATAATAAAAGCTGTACACTGGTAAATGACGGACGGCCGAGCTGCCGTATTATCATATATATATATATGCTACGTGGTGTGTTTTTATTTCATCAAACATACAAACACGAATATGGGTATAATATATTTGTGCGTCTGTGTGTGGGTGAGTGGGTGTGTAGCGTGTACCAGCTATTATGAATATTCGTCTGCTTATTTCATATTACGATCGAGCGTAATAATTATAATAATACGTTTATATATATATGTGTATTGCTCGATTGCTGTACACAATACTACAATAATAAGTGACTCGCCCGTTTTGCACAGAACAAAACCCGGCTTACTTGCTTGTATATATATATATAAACGCCAAACGAAACACGACGGAGCGAGGAAGTCTTTTCGTCCTAGTGTTTTATAGTATTTTAATGAGCTCAACTGTATACAATAGAATGTACAGGGTGTTACTCACCCCCATTTTTAAATTTATTACCTAATGAATTCGTTCGAATTCTGATTTTTGGAATTTTTAATTATACTTAAATAGTATACCGTATATTTATGAACGAGAGTGTCCTGCGGAGAAATAAAACTTCTGTTTTTCAAATGAAATACCCACTTTCTACATTAAATTAATTTTATGTAACAAAATCAAAATTTGAAAGATTAATTTTTGAGTTGTTTATCTTTACTGTATAACAAATATAATAATATCGTATGATATAATAGGTAGGTACATGATAATGGAATTGGTAGATATGGGAGGTATGGTCTATATATTAATCTATCAACATTTATAATTGGTAAAAATGGTCCAATATTACAATAAATACAGCTACATCAGTTGATTTATATTTCTGTAAAACTATTTTTAAGGATTATTAACATTTTAATAGGTAACTGAAAAAAAGTCGTTCTAATTTTTAACTCGGTGCATCAACGATTTAAAAAAAATTATCCACTGAATAATTTAGAGTAAAAAAGGAGGTTCTAATTTTAAAAATAACAGTTTATATCGTTTTAGAATACTCCTTAAGTATCACTGCTAAAAAATCAATAATTTGAAAATATGGTGTTTAAGTATATTTAAAAATTTGAAAATCAGAATTTGAATAAATTCATTATACAATAAACAAAAACAAGAGTGAGCATTCTTGTTGAATCACCCTATATATTTATTAATATATATAATATTATACCATATTATTGTACTGCAGATTTTAATTTTCGTTTTCTCCCGATATAAATTATATTCTTTTCTTGACATGTCATTATTCCTGAGGACTTTTCTTCTCTTTTTTTTTCATACAAAAACTAACTTACTATGTACAAATAAAAACAAAACTTATTAACAATAAGCACGGCTTTTTAATGCATCGCCTAGATAATATATCATTATATTTCGTTCTGGATTATGTTAATCATCATTCATCAGTATGTAGGTACTTATTTTATACATTAGCCGGGGCGTAATTAATAAAACCGTTAATTATTTTAATAATTTATAATTCTCTAATAGTAAAACACGCGTACGTGTACGTTACGATAGTATAATACGTGATGACACTGATGTGCAATGCAGCAGCTATATTATTATATATACATAACATATTGACAATAATAATTAATTCATTAGGCGCGACTGCGATGTGTACATCCACCCGAAATTTACATTAGTTTAAACTTTGGAAACAACTGAATTAATCAATAAATTATAATAATAACCATATAAATGGACGCCTGCGACTTCACCTCTACGCCCTCGCAGGGTATACACACACACTATATATATTGTAACGCCGCAGCGGCGCAGTTAAATCCGGGGTCCAAAAATCGTATATGATCGCCGTCGAACGAGATAAAATAAGAGTTACGTTTTAATACATATAATATTGTACGCATATAATAGTACTCGTGCAGTGTGTAATGACAGTAATAATAACGAGAATATAAAAGCGATAAAACCGACGGCGGATCGTTAGATGGCTTAGGGCGGAGGCCGTCCGTTGACATTAAATAACGCGAGAGTCGTCGTCGTCGTCGTATATATACACACTAATAAGTACAGCCTTAGGAGATAAGTTCGGCGGATACTATGTACGCGTTTCGTCCGCGATTTCCATCTCCTCGTCCGATCGGCCGCTTAGAGTGGCTTATATATTAGAGAGGACACATTTCAGTCGATGAGTGTTTCGCCTGGTGCAGTTTTCACCGAAGAAAACACCGTCACGCGCGATAGGAGTAATATCATGTTATAGATATAAGATAGAGCTTATTTTGTATTATATCCTACGCACAATATCTCGTGTATAGATAGTGAGTGTAGTAACATGCTGGTAGACAAAGATACAATAATAACAATTAACAAAAAGATCAATAAAGTGTAATACTGTAAATAGATTCAATATCAATAATATATTGGTGTATAGCTCATACACGTTTGCACGTCTTTTTTGTGCTAAATGGTGGTAATAAAAATAGTACCTATAGGATGTTAAACAGACGAAGTAAACCCCAGACATATTTGTTCTGTTGACCACCCAATGTATTTAAAACAACAAGCTTCATAGTAATAAGTATAATTCCATATTATAGTATAATTGTTATTAAGAAGTATTTTATTTTTTTTTTTGTACAAGTATAATATGCATAGTGCATTCCTATATAGAATAACACAGGCGTACAAACGTACAATCAGGTGTGGAATCAGAGACCCCCCTCTAGCCAAAGTGGTTTAGCCCCACCCCAACCTCCACTATCTTTGGAAATTGTATATAATATTATTATGTCTTTATTGATATAATACCTAAATAGTTCATACGTCTAAAATCCATAAATTAAAATATAAATAAAATTGTAATAAAATCTTATCTATAATGTTATCTAGGTATATTATAATATATTTTGTACCCACTAAAATTATAATTGTATTTTTTCTAAAAACAATTTAGCCACCATCTCAGATTTCTAGATTCCCGCCTGCATATTATAATACACACATAATATTTATAAGAACCGACGATTTAGGAGTTAAAAGCTCCCAGATAAACGCTTAGAGTTAGTGGTACCTATATATACCTATACTTGGATTCCGAAACCACACATCGTAATTTTTGAACCACAGACCGTCCCGTCTGTTCAAGTAGCTCGGGCGTATAACGACGACGTATACGTTTTCAGCGGTTCGTATACAAAAATATATATAATGTGTGTGTATGTAATTCGATTAAACGCCCCGACAAGTACACTACACCAACAACAACAACTGCACCGGTGTAGACACGCGGGATCGTGCCATTAACGACGTCTCATACGGGCTGCCGTATATTACGTCGTATATTGACCTTTACCGGCGGCGGTTAAAGGATTTTTATTTTCATTTTATTTTTTTTTTATTATTTCCATCGCCTAGTCGGGGGGGACGGCCGGCGAAATCTTTCCCATGGGCTCGTTAAACCGCCGTTCAAAACGCACCCCGCCGCCACCCTCCTGTCCGGCATCCTCGTCGTCTTGACCTCCGCGGGCGGAAATAAATTCTTGGACTTGACCCCTATCCTCGTCATTGTCGGCTCCTGGCGCCGTTTCAAAAGCTACCGGCCGGCCATCCCCGTCGGCGGCCGACCGTTTAATAGATTTAAACGAGAGACGGGAGAATCGACTGTATATACTATAAACACTATACATATATATTGTTGCCACGCGCGTATAAAATAAAGACGGCGCAGACACACGCACGAAACGTTTATATTATGTGCACAATATAGGTGCGCATATACAATAATATATACACATATATGTTATATACACCTAAGTGCCAGCAGTTTTTATATAAATATTATTATGTATATACCTATATTGGTGGCTTAAAGGTTCGGCTTTTGTATATCATACTATTATATATACATATATTTTATGTTATCAAACGGCGTGTACATGTACATTGTATATATCTATTATATACATGTTAGAAGTATATATACTTCGGCACGAAGCTCCCGCTGGCGCGTTTAGTATTCACCGGCTGTTGCGAAACTCGTTTCCAATTCGGACGCGCCCAAGAGCTTTTTCTTTATTTTTTTTTCGACGCCGAGCGAAGAAGGGTTGGCTGTCGACTGACTGCGTTAGAATCGCGGCGGCTTCCGTGGGTGTGTGGGTTGGTGGGGGGGGGGGGTGAGTGGTGACGGCGCGGCGTGTACCGAAACTAAAAAAAACTGCACAAAGAAGAAATAACATCCGCAGACGTCGAAATGAAAAATTAGCCGTTGGAGCATATTCGTAAAATAAATTGCACTCTCCCGGCGGCGCAGGGTCCGCGCTCCAGCAGACGTTTCTAATATAGGCAGACAGCCGAATAATGGATGACTTTCGTACGTTTGCTCATACTCGTGGGGGGCGCAGGGTGTCGACCTTACACACCCACACTCACCCACACACGTAATATAAATATATATATATATAGTATACACAACAGTGCGAATATGCGTAACGTTCCGTTAAGGGTTGAATATATTTATATATATGCCGCGGGGAGTATATATAATACGATATGTGCAGATATTCGAGATAAGTCGAAACACATTATTGCAAATAATATAATATGCGCGTATATGCACACATCGCCCGACCATTCGTATACACGTTATACCTTAGTTCGTCATCGGCAAAAGTCGTCGTCGTCATATATTATATAATATTGTATATTATACCGGAGAGGGAGGGTGCTGGTGGTGTTATTTCGTCTCGGTGACCGACTTCAATTAATTCGGGATTATACGCGCGGGGGAGGACTGCCGCGGGTGTGCGTGTTTTGACGGTGCCGCCGATATCTCGACTGAACCGAGAAATAATCGATGTGCATATATATAGGACTCTGGGGATTAAAACGTTCATATAATATATATTATAAATGTTGCCTTATATTATATATTATATGCACATACCACATACGTGTATGGGTACACCGTGCATGTATACAAGGATAATATTATTGTATACGAGTATATATAAGATATATAATATAGATATAATAATAACAATATGTTTAACGCGCACATAACGTAGGTAGTCGACTGGATGTCTAAATTGGTCAGGTAATTGATATACGGCTTGATAAACGGCGCATGATACGCGTTTTATATAATATATTATTATTATTCACGGGTAGGCACATAATAGCCGGGAATATATAGGTTGATTAATGTTATTATTATATTGCATTACGATACTCGAGTGTCGAGCTGTTGATGCTCACAAAACACACCGGTAAAATAATATACCCATAAACCGGGTTCGTTATAAAAAAAAAAAAATTAAAAACATGGGTATTAATATAAAAATAAAAGGTTCCGGCGTCGAGTGTGATACTTATAATAATAGCTATATGCAGTGCGAGCAAGAATTAAAATTCAAAACTTTATACCTAATGATTATGTTAACAGCACGGCGCGGGCGTTACCAAATACAATATTGTACTGTGTTTGATAATTATTAAATGCACGCATATAGATATATACTTAAATAATAATGACATAACATAACTCTTCATTATCGCTCTTATAAATGGTATTTATATTGAACGAGCTGCGTATATTACCGCGCATGGGAACGCGTAACGTTTGTTTTGAAAAGAAACATTTAAAAAGACTTAAGTGTGTAATGTATAGGTACCTCGCATAGCCCGGATATATGCGACAGCTGTGTATAGTTTAGTCGAAGAGATTATAATGTGCTTCAAACAAAATTGCTTGGAAAACTTATAATGTATTTAATTATTATTACTATTATATTTTTTTATAGATTTTATTATGTATCAGGTCCTACTTATTCATAAATCATGTCATATAATATATTTAAATAAATTACTGTGATAAATGTTATTTTGTAAATTAGAAAACATTGTGGGTTATGACTCCTGAACAGTGCGCGTCTCCCATTCTTTTTCAAACTTTTGGAAAAAAAAACAGTTTTTATTTTGACAGTAATAAATGTTGCCTTTGACATAAACCTATTTGTACAGGTCGAGTTTAGCTCACGCCACTTTACAGTTCGGTCAACTACATAATGTATAAATATTTATTCTTTAATATAGGTAAAGGTATATATATATGATAATATGCGTATAACATATACCTTTGTACGACATGTGGCATGACGTTATAATATTATATACTCTCGTAATTGGAATATTTCGAGCATAGACGCACGCGTATAACGTTTTTCGATTATAAAACGATTTAAACTGTTATAAATCATATTATAAAGTTTTTACAGAGACGTTTCCCGCATATTATTATTTAGTTCGGTTTTATTATAATAATAATATGTAGTATCAACGTATAAACTTTACTGGGCATTACAACACATATATTACGCGACTGTACCTATAAACACAAATCGAATCTACAGTTGCGATCTTTTTCGCGCAAATACCACTTATTATATAATATATACAAGCACCCTACGTATACCGCACACATCTATACAATACTCGTATATACTTAACACGTCCGTACGAAAATAAACAAAAGGCCCGCTTGTCGTTTTACGTACGCGTATCATAATATATACGTACCGAGCCAAGTCTCTTCACGCCGTCACCTATATATATATAATATATGGAACTTATTATACGTATCACGGCACACACACACACACACACACACGCATATATATATATATACCTATATATAATATGTGTGTGTGTGTGTGTGTACGAGTTTAGGCAATTTTCCAAAACACCGGAAAACCGAGCGCCCCCGCTATTAAACGGCTCACGCAGGAGAGTGGGTCGCCTGGTAGAGCACCACCACACATATGACGTGCGGCGGGGAAAACACTGTAATATATATTATACCGCGCGCACATTAGTCGTATCCGTTTCGGACAGATTATCCGACCGCCGGCGTTTTCGATACGGATCGCACAACCGCCGCCGCTGGCGTCGCAAAGTTTAAAGTGTCTGCAGTATATAGCAACCGCCGCCGCGTGGCCTTTATAACCTTTGCGCGTCTCTATTTATGTATATATATATATATATGCACACTCATACAAACATACATACATATTATAATTGTCGCGTGCTAGTCCCGAGGCGATTTCCAACCACCCCGCACCGCCCTTCGAGCGGGTTCTTGACTTTCCGGCGCAAACATATTGTATATACTTGTACGCGTCGACCACGCCAAGCTTTTAGCGTCGTCGTCGTCATCTTTGTCTTTGTCTTCGTGGACTCGGGAAAGTTTGGCTAGCGCCCCGGGAAATCGTCGGGACTAGATCTCCCCAAACGCCTCGGGAGTGCGAAAGCTCGTAAGCCCGTACACATATCTGTATATCGAATTATCTGCGGTGATGCCGACGACGAACTGCAGTTATCGCGAGTTAAATCTACAGTTTACCTTCACTCGACATCATATTATTATATACGTGACATTTTGAATTCGAAATCCCCAAAACAACGTGGTTAACGACTCCTCTCAATACCCACAAGGCACGTCGAATAAACATATTTTCAGACGTCAACCAGCTCGAGGTGACTTAACTTCGGGCAAAAATGTGGAATCCTGTGTAAAGTATACTGCAGCGAATGGCTTCGTTCAAGTGTACATAAACATGCGGCTACACATAATAACTTGATGTATAATGTGTACAGTTAATATAAATCGACGTTTGTGCAGCGACTTGTCACCTACGTTAGTGTATATTATTATAGTCGTCGGGACGGTTTTGAACATTCGTAGGTGTTCTTAAACATTGTTGCGGTTCGACAAAAGTGCAAGCTATAGGTGTATATGCAAAACGCAATAATATATCAACGGTGACTCGAGAATAAATAAACAAAATTGATCGGTCACTCGAGACCCGTAAAGAACTACTCTCTCACCCACCTGCATGCAGCACCCCCTCCCCCCGCGCCGGACGTTACGCGATATAATATTTTATTCGTGCAGCTTTTACATAATAAATCTATTTACCTGCGCAAATTCGGGTGAAAAAAAAAATAAACTACACAATAATATACACAAGAGCGTTTAATTTGGCAGGCATTTGGAAACGCGTATATAGATACAGTCGGCGTTTAACCGATGTATGGCGCAGCTGTGTCGTTGGACTTTTGCGAATAACGTCCGGTTGTTAAATATTATACGACCACCTCGAAATTTTATTTCCAAGCCGCCGCCGCCGAACGTTAACATTGTATATTGTATATATAAACGGCACACACTCGCGAACGCGTATTTTCATTATAATATTTTCATTTTATGCGTCGGTCCCGGTTTTCTAGCTTATTATATAGAATATAACAACATACTACCTATGAAATATTATTATCGTTCAGGGTTCTCTACAGATTTTGTTCTTACCCAATAATATAATATAATTTTATAATTATAATTTAAGTACGGTAAAAGACTTGTCAACATATATTATATAATACGCGTTCGTGCGACGAAACGCTTATATGATTTGAGTCCTTATGATATATAATATAAAAAAATATATATACGGTAGCTGTAAAACCTGACTTTATCCTAGAAAAATCAGCGAATATAAAATATGTAATCCAAATATATAGCATGTATCTCGGTTTAAGTGCAGGTAACTGCTTCGTCAATTAATTTGACCGTGGCGTATTGGCGTATAGCATCTGGACACCTGGTATAGTTTCAAAAAGTGATTCAAGCTTC